GAGGGACATCACAGGGAGGGAAAACAGGGAGGGACCCTGTTTTCTCTTTAACACCTAGCCATTGACTAACTCTTTGGACATGGTAACCTACCCAATTCCTTATCCATCAAATAGTACATCCATCAAATCCTTATCTTTCCAATTCAGAGGCAAAAATGTTGTGTGGGACCATGTCAAAGGCTCTACAGAAGTCCAGGTAGATGACAGTTGTAGCTCTTCCCTTGTCCACTGATGAAGTCACTCCATTGTAAAGGTCACTATATCAGTCAGGCCTGACTTCCCCTTAGTGAAGTTTTGATCGTAATTTTCAGGAGGATCCGTTTCATCACCCTACTGGGCACTGAGGTGAGGCCAACGAAGGAACTGACTGCAGGAAGAACAGAGCATATACTCCAGGCTGTGGGATGAGAAGGGCAATCTTTCCTCCACTCCTTTCTAGACCTTCCTTCTACATTTCCATCACCAGTTGCCTCTCTGCCCTCTGGTGGCTCCTCTGCATAACTTTATTCTGGCAGGTACCGGAAAGCTGCTCTTAACTACAGAAGGGGGGCTTAAGCTTGTTTGCTTAGGGAAGTTTGGAAGTTTACAGCATTCTTGAATCCTCCTCCTCAACCTGAAAAGTTAAAATAAGAAGCTAAAAAGCCCGCAAGTGAGCTGATGCTAGAAGCAAGAAGGCTTCAGTGAAATCAATACTTGAAATCTACCAATGTTACTAAGCAACCACTGCCCGTGGTTTGATATAGAAAGTTATTGATAAAACCTTGCAGGATTCCCCAGTGTCCAGCTTTGATAACAACTGAAACAAGCTGCAAGATGGGCCCTATTTTTACTGACCTTACTATAAGAGGACTGGACAAACATGTTACAACCCAAATGAAAAATCCTGCTTTGACAATGTTGTAGAGCAAAAAGGCTGCAGAAGAATACATAGATGACATTGAAAAATATGTAGTATTTTTCAAATACACACATATTTGCTCAGCCTACTACCCTAAGAGTTCAGTAGCTGCATGGATGAGATAGGATATATCAGCTTCTTATCAGTGCTTTCCTGCTAATTCTGTCTCCAAAAAAGTAAAACTGGATTCATGGTTACTGAGGCCACAAGCTGGCCAGCTTGCAAGAAGTGGAGAGATAGCTTCCAAGAAAGTACTGTATGAAGATATCCTGGGGCAACAAGACATAGGTTCGTAAACACTGATCTTGCAAGGAACAGAGAGCTATATGCATTCGAAGGAAGCAAGAAGAGAGAAATGGGGAAGAAAACTTCACTGCTGGTCAAAATTAAGGACAACTGCTGGGTTACAAGGTATATACTACTCATGGATTTACAGAATAGCTGGAGTTTGGCTTGGTATTTGTTTCAAGGTTAAGGGATTTAGATTTTTAAAGGGGTTGTGTTGGGGTCAGAAAAAGAGCAACATACTCAACAGGAAACAAAGGCAGAAAATCTACAGATTTGTCAGGGAGGAGACTGTCTTGCAAGGCAAACAGACTTGGTCCTTTGCCTAGCAGTTGACAAATATGTTTTCTGAGCCTTCCCCACATAGAAGCTTCCAGTCAAATGTCATCCTTTCTTTTGCTTGGAAAGATACATGCAAAAAGTTTGCTGATGATACTAAATTAGGAGGAGCTGCAGACTCCCTTGAATGTAGAGAGGCCTCCAGAGAGATCTGGATAGACTCAAGAGCTGGGCAATCACCAACCATATGAAATTTAACAAGAGCTAAGTGCCAGATTCTCCACTTGGGTAATGCTGGTTTTATGCACAAACTGGGGGACAAAAAGCTGGAGAGCAGCCTCACAGAAAGAGATCTGAGGGTGTGGGTTGATAGCAAGCTCAGTATGAGTCAACAGCATGCCCTGACAGCCAAAAGGGTCAACCTGGTGGTTGTTCTGGGGTGCATCAAACACAGCATAGCTGGCTGGTTGAGGGACATAATTGTCCCACTCCACACTGCACTGGTGCAGCCCCACCTTGAGTACCGTTTACATCACCTCATCAAAACCAAAACCAAACAACCCTTTCTTTATTTCACCACAGCTTCTTGTGTGACCCTAGATAATCAAACTCCTTGCAATTCAGTTTAATCCTTAACTCAGGATGCATTTTTTACCACTGTTAGGGCACTGCAAAGTCTAACACACAATGCAAACAGTATGTCTAAGGAGCACCTCCATCCCTGCAAATTTTCCTTTGATTAAGTAACATCTTTAGAAAACTCATCTTTTAGGCAAGGCTATGAGTTCTATGAATTACCATTTTCTTATGATCTCTCAAAGTACATTTTAAAAAGCCTGTCATGCACTACAATTAATTTGGCAAAACTTCCATCTACAACACAAGCGTCTGTTGCCAATGTCTAGAGCTGCATGATCACGCACAGCAATACGCGTATGAAAGGAAACAATGCACCCCTGTCTAAGAGAAAGAACAGGACAAAATTGTGTAAGTGTACATAATACATTTATTACTGAACAACTCTCTCAACTCCAAAATTGGGCACAGGGATTAAAAATAAAAATTCATTGCACTACCTAGTAAAGCATTACTAGTAACTCTCATAAAAAATGTACAAATTTTGTTAAAAATTTATCAAGCCTTCAAATGATTTGGTTACAGATATTTATAATACATTTAAAACTACATGTTAAATGTTAAAACAGAGTATGATTTAAAGAAAACACTTGACAAAATATGACTCCAACAAAACTCGCAAGGTTTCATAATTATTAGCAAATCTGAAACACAAGTAGCAAAATGAGGTAACAATGTACCAAAGAAAAAAAACACAGCTTTTACAAAGGCCCAAAGATAAGTCAGTCAAAAATGTGTTTTCTACAATTAAAATTAAAAAGGTTGATAAATCTCATCCCAAGTATTACACAAGGTATTAACAGCTGTGAAATCACATTCAAGAGCCTGTAAAAAACTGCATACAATAAAAGGCTTTAATTTTTTTTTTTTTAAAGAAAGTCACAAAATGAGACATTGGAATTATCTGTAGGCCTTAATATCCACTAAAATGTCAAATCAAATCGACAGTTTATGCAGAAAACACAACAGTGCCAATATGATAAAGCAAACATATTACAGGGTTGAGGGTTTGTTGGGGTTTTTTTTTTGTTTGTTTTTGTTTTGAGAAGAAAGAGCCAGGTGATGGCAGAAAGGCAATGAACATAAAGAGTCTTGCTGAATTCAGGTGCTGCCATGCACCATGGCAGGCTGTGGAATTACACACAAACGTGCATAACACATGGCAGTCAACAGCTGAATATGAATCCCCCTCTCTTGACAGCCACAACAAAGATGACTCAATTGTAGCTTGTCTTGAGCTGATTTAGAACATATGCATGTGTGCTGTTTATACACACTAACCACAGGAAGCAAGTCCACATACATCTGCAAGAGTCCCATGCAAACCATTTCAGAGGAGATGAGCCATAAGAGTGCAACAATTAATTTCAGGGTAAGGGACATTACACATTAAGATTTCTCCATTTCCAGAAAGAGGACTACTTTCCCTTGGCTTCAGAAGAATGTGTCTTGTTCATTTGTATCTAGCTTAGAAAAAGCGCCCACTTCCCATGCTCTGAACTGAATACTGAGCACAGACAGTAATGTTAGTTATGTTTAAACCTGTACACAAATTTTCCTTTTGCAGTTATATAAAACAGTCTAAGTTTTGTAAGACATATGTGGCATATGCTTTTTAAACAACATGATTTTATTTGTTAAAAAAATAAATTTTATTACATGTAATTTATATTGTAAAAAGTCTATTCTTTAACTCCACTGGAAGGGAGGAGAAATTCCAATATTCTGAAGTTGATGTAACAGCATTTTTATCTATATGGATACATATGGAAAGACTCACTGTTTTTGAGAACGATCTGCATAACTAAACAGAGGGAAATAGGGTAAAATTGTGCTTTTGTTTTATCTGCACCAAGAGCTGTGACTGGTCTGCAGTATCTTCAGAGAGGGAAATCAGCATGGAGAACATCTAACACTGAAATTGTAACTGATACTAAAGCTTAGCAGCATACAAAAGCATCATAAACAATAAAGAATAAACTTAAAGCTGAGACTGGCAGCAAGTTGTGGCAATATTGCTAGTTGTGCCACTTGTGCTGGTGCAACCAAAGTAATGACACAGAATTTAGGAAAAGACTTCTGCTGCAAAAAGTGCATCCTTTGAACAACTATGGTATATGTAAATCTAAATACTTTGCTAGAACATATCAAAGATGTTAACAGTCTGAATGTTATAAATGAAGCTAATTTTTTTCAATATCCCAAATAAAACATTATTCAGAGCACATGAATAGAGATTATAATCTCCTGTGTCACAGCACTATTCTGGAAGGTGTTCCAATTTCCTCCTATAGAGGAGTGCTCTGGAAACTTGACTGCAAAAACCAAGGGAGTTCCTTCTTCATATGACACTCACGAAATAAGGAAGGGCAAGAAGCAGCATCAAGGCAACTGAATTCTGCAGTTAGTGACCAAAAACCACCTTCTCTTGTGATACAAAGAGAAAAATAAAAAGTTCTGCTTCTCTGAGAAAACACTAAAAAAAAATTATTTTATTCATGAAGTTGCAGGAATAAAATTTTAACCTTTTACAAGTTATTTTAGTTCTATACAAGCTCCCTTGTAAATGACAAAGAATGTATACTCATGTCTATAAGCTAAAAGATGTCCTTAGCAAGTACAATGGTCAAAAGTGAAAAGCTGTTTCACAGGACCCACAGTGTCCTTTCTGCTTCCTTTCATGAAAGAAGCACCTAACTGGCAAACCCAGCTAGAAAAATTTAAAAGGAGAACAGAAAAGCATTGATATTCATATTAGCAACTGAAAACGTTAATATTGCTAAATGATTTGTGCAATCTTGCAACTTGACATTGACAAATAACTTGTAAATCAGACATTTAAAAACCCAGACTTTGTAGCATATGCTAAAAACCCTAAGGTTACTCATGTATGAATAATCAAAGCACTCTTTAGTGGTACACATATAAAGCTTCCAATGAAGGGGAAGCATAACTGCTGTTTGAATAGTAGGTAGAAAGGTCTTTATACCTTTAAGCACATTGGGGAGGAAATACTAAATGTCTGTAATTGCCGCACCCATCACATTCAGTGTACAACTGCAAACACAAGGAAAGGAACCAGTGTACAGTACTAGTACTGTTTAAATAACACACAAGATTATACATTGCAGCATAATTATTACTACACACATACATTCTCAGAACATGCTGGTATATAGGTTCTCAAACACCCATGTACACTCAGTCACAAACACACTTCCTGCATCCTCTCACAAGCAAACACACATTCACACCATTCATTCCCACTCACAGTATCTGAAGGCTCTATATAAGGTAGATTGCTATATTGTTTGGAGCTACCACTCTTTTTTTTTTTTCTCCTTTTTCTTTTATATAAAAGCACATGCTAAAAGATGACATCCACAGTAATCTCGCAGCAACACTCGGAATGATCACAAAAAAACCAGGGAATGTTAGTGCACACACAAAATTAAGCTAAAAAAAATAAATCTTTGGAGTTCCAATCACACTGTTAGTATAACAATCCTGTAACTGTGAAGACTAGTTATAAGCTTTGTAATTAAGTCACGCAGTGCAAAGTAAGGTCCATTGACCCTTTTGTGTAAAGGGTAGGCTGGAAGCCACATGGGTAAGTTCAATAGATAGTTCATATATACATGTGACCAGGAACACCCAAACCAGATCTGTGCTTTTAGATTGGTCATTCTGAATCACGATGCACTTCTGAAGCATCAGCTCTACAAATTGGGCAGGTACGATTTGCCTGTAAAAACAGAAACAAGAGGATTTACTGTACTTTACATTGTTAAGGTAACGTGTATATGACACTGAACTTCTGTGACCATAATGAGATCGATACTTTCAGCACTCAAGTACTGAAAAGTAATTCAAGAGTACTCAAAACAAGAGAGGACAAAGTGCTTACTTTGTTTTGTTATGTTGAGTGGTATTCTAAGTTTGCCAAATCAGAATTATGTTTGAAAAAAAAATTACACCTTTTATCTTTAAAGATAAAGCAAAAGAGCAAACTAGGCTTTATCTGAGTGATAGTGGTTTTATTAATGCAGATTGATAGTTATAGTACATTGCAGTCAGATGGATGCAAGTAAGAAGCTGTTCTGTGTGCTGCAGAGAAACCCACCAAAACCAGATGAGCTTGGGCTCCAAATAAATGTCCTATATGAGAGTGTCATGTTGTCACAAGCTCTACTGATCAGGGACCATATCTCTTCATATTCTGTGAGGATTCAATTATCCTCACAGAAACCCATCCTATAGACTTAGTCAAAGACAAAAGCAGACTAGGGAAAAAATGGAAGGGGTTTTAGTAAAGAGAAAGGGGGGGGCGGGGGAAGAGATAAGATGACTTGACAAAACAGGTATTCAAGTAACACACAGAAGCAGGTCGAAATTTAGCCCTTCAGTAAAGCACTTATTGTCCTGTGACTCCTTCTTTTATAGCTTCCTTAAGAGGAAAAGACAGATGCCAAGTAACATTCCTTAAGCTACTGGGAAAGCATTTCTGTCTTTGCATTCTGCTTTTCAAATAAAGGCTAATTTCATTTTAGCAAATGTTGAGAAAGAGCCCAAAACAAATATTTCTTGTGATCTGATTCTAACAGGCCATGTTTTCAAGCTGTCCTTTGGAATGATGGCTAACTCTTACTTTACAAGAGAACAGATTTCTCATGTATTCATAGTTGACTAAAGGATTTAGTATATTAAGAAATAACCAAATACTGTGAAATATGAGTTGACAGTACTATGAAAAGCAAAAAAATAACCTCCTTCTTGTTAATAGCAAAGTGGGAGAGGAAGGTATTAGTACTCACTTGCTGCACAGGGTATGTAGAACAGTTAAAGCCACCACCATCCTCTAATTCTTACTTCCTATAATATTATACTACTCTTTTGCCTGCAAGTCCTCTTTAATTTCACAGATTACTTGAATTCACAGTCATTATTTTGTGCAAATGGAAAACACAGTAAGATCTGTCAATGAAAACAATTCTCTTCATACTTCATTTCCTTGTTCCAAAGATTATAAAGAAACTTCCTTCATCAATTATTAGAAAAATATCATAAGTATGCTTCCACTTTGTTTTCATTTCTAGCCTAAGTATTAGAAATGTGAAGATGAAATGAAGTGGATCCCCTCCCCTCAAACTACATAAAGAATTCCCTATGAGATAGGATTCTTTTTTTTTTTTTTACCTTCAGCCATTTATCAACACACTTGGCATGGAACTCGTGGTTACAGGGTAAGACTCTAAGTAGCTGCCTTGACTCAAAATCACACATGCATACCACACACCTAAAAAAGACAACAAAGTTAAAATGTATTTGCTATACAACAAACACATATTCCATACAAAACTTTACAGGTAGGACTGCAACATGGTAGCTCTTTTTCCCCTTTGGGAGCTACAGTTATCTGTATCTGTAGTTGAAGATGTGTAGTGTGACAGCCTAAACTGAGAATTGCTGCTGTGTGTTTTTTTTTTTTCCCCTGTGCTTTCAAATCACAAAGCAATTGCTCCTGCTCACAGGACTCTACAGAACCAATCAATAGAACAGATGTTTAAGCAAAACTCAAAATGGTGGAGGTAATTATTTATGAAGTTCACTCCCTACTGATACTAATAAGTCACACTGAGGGTCACTGAAACTGAAATACCAGAGAAAAATCCTTACACTGAAGTTCAAACATTAGATAGCATTTGGTATTAAGTCACTTCAACTACCTTCATATCTATACTGCCCTTTCCACTTCATTGTGTAGATCTTTTAAACAAAATAAGTTAATGCATTTTAAAAATAAGAAGATGCACTCTTAAACCACTCACTAAGCTCTATCAACTTCAACACCTGAAGCTATTTTAACTCAGGCTAAATTCCAACTTGACAGTGTCACTTGAACGTCTAGTATACTTAACAAAACAAGGAACTTCTTTCATTTCAATTTTTTCAATGCTGAAGAACTAAACTGAAACTCAGTTAAATAGCATGAGACTAGATACAGGTTTTAAAGTAAGGATAAGGAGTATTTGATCTGGAAAGCAATCCAAGGAAAAAAAGAAAATTAAACTGTTCACTGACATGACTGCTTTTAAACCCCTTTTGGCCTAGCTGGGGCAACAAATTAAAGAAATGAAAACATAGCTACCTAAATTATAGACCTTTGAAAGAGACCAATATACTTACAATGTCTGTTCTGACTGGTGGTTATTTGGATTGAACCTGTAGGATGGAAGCTGTTCAATGTCCGCCTTTGTCAGTCCTCGTGGTTTGGCTTCTCCCAGACGTTCTGCCAAATTCAGCAGTGCCTGCAAAACATGGAAACTGGATGTTTAAAAATTCACTGCTTAAACAGGCTCTGGTTCCTCTAGAGTTGGGGCTGCGATTACACCTCACTACCTCAGCTGGTAGCACAAAACACCCTTCTTTCAAGAAAATGTTTAGAACCTCAGTTCTCCCCTACAACAAAAGCCCCATGGAAAGTCTTTCAAATTCAACCATCTTTCTAATTATGTAAGATGTTCTCTTTGGGATTCCAAAACCTTCAGGTTCCAACTTCGGTTACTCCTGTGGCTGCATGCACAGCTTAGTAAGTATTTTGCTTCCGAAGGACCCCTTCACCCCACTATTAAATTAATAGTGCTAGTAACCAGAAAAAATCATCAATAAATTTGCTTTCTAAGAATATGCGAGTCTGGTCTTGTAAGAGAAATCAAGAATTTAATGGGGCAGGTTCTGATTCCCACTCTTGGGCTACTTGAGTTGAAATATGGATATATTATCCTGAATCTGGAAAACAAATACATACCATCAAACTTTAAGCACTTATTTTGCTAAATTTTATGTTCATTTTCTATAAGCGAAGCATTGTAACTAAAAGCCTCTCATGTAAATAATTTCCACTCTGTCATATAAGTAACTTGCACTCATTTACAAAGGACTTAGGAAACATATCACTATAAATGTGATAGAGAACCAAGGCATAGAAAAGTTAAAAGAAAGCTGCCAACAGTACTGATCACAAAGAGATTTCTAATACTGTCAAAACTAGGGCCCACATTCTCAGAAATATGATGCTTCTTCTGAACTGGCAGAGAAGTTACTACAGAAGTGCTCATTGTTAAATTGAAAATGAGCAACTACACAGAGCTCTTCAGGGGAGCACAGGCAAAGAGATTCAAAAGTTAGGGTTGATGATGACTGAAGAGACATTGAATACAATCCAATAGTCTCAGACAAAGACACAGCAGCTGAGACTGCCCCATAATTATCTAGGATATTAAAGAGTTCTACATCTATAGACGTGTATTACTGTACCCTCCTGAAGGCCAAGAAGAAAGGCAGTAATACAGTTATATAAACATTACATTTAAATAATTAATCCTATCACATTAACACTATTCTGCATTAACACTACTCGGCAAAGTTACGCACATAAAACCAGTAACTTATCCTGTTCTTTCAAAAGTGTATCACTTTTAATTGATTTTAAATATCAAACAGAACTCAAAAGGAGCAGAGCAGCACATAGAACATAAAAGCTGAGCAATTTAATGATTATTAGACTGGAAGGGTGGATTCTGGGAAAGAGGAATAGACAAAAAATAAAGCTAACATCCAGCACTGAAAAAAATCTGAAAGGATGGTTTCTGGATTCTGTCTTCACAGTCATTACATTCATTTGGAAGACAGAAGCACAATTAAAAGCAAAATATCATGAAATTTTATGTATTGCTTGAGCTAACATCTGTTCTTTAAAGGTAGTTGTAGTTCGCACACCAACCTCATAGTTTTCTACCTCTCCATCTTCCACATCCAACTCAAAGCTGAAAGCTGGTCCAACTGCAGGTGGCACTGGGAGCATTGATCTACCATGAGAGCAAACAATTATAAGGTTCAGCGTGTTGCTGAAGGAAAGCACAGAAACATCTGGCAGAAGTAAAGTTACCTTACTGATCTCTCTCAAGTCAATAAGTTCTCAGAACTGGTAAAAATGTTAGCATTGTCTCATTTGAAGACAAGAACAGACATTTGAGAAGTGAAAGAGTCAAACGAAAAAGCTAAATCTGCCACTTTTTGATACTGAGAGTGCTGCCTTTTTAACTGCATGCATACTTCAACTTATACTTCCAACCAGGCTCAGTATTACAAAAACTAATCTCCACTATCACAGATTATGGAGAGCTAAAACTGACAATGAACTGATGTTTTTGTTTTAAACATTCTATTTCTTTAAGTGGATGGAATATAAGCAAAGATAAGGAATCCCAAGTTCACTTAACTCTCCAATACAAAAGCCTTGAACCTTTGCTAAGACAAAAACACACAATGAAGATAAACAGGATACGCTGCTGGACCAACTTCCATACTGAAGGCAAGCACACTCACTTTCTCACGTACTGTGATGTTGGTCAAAACAATCTCTTCAGATAGAAAGGTGAGAGAGAAATGTTTCTCTGTTTTTATATTCAACAAGTGTTATTACCTCCCAAGATAGTCCTATGGGACAAAACTTAATGCACAGACATAGAAATCACAAATTCACATCACTAAAATCCCACTGAAGTAATCAGGAATTACTGCGCCACATCATGTCCTCAATGGACAAGCAAGAAGCTATGGCATCACTCTCAGATTAAGAAACAAAGTTGAACAACTTCACTGGATCAGATTTCTGGTGCCATTTTCATGCCACATCTGAAATCACATAGAAAGAAACTACAGATCTGGTGTCAATGTTTGAGTATTTCCTTGTCAGTGTCACATTTCCCACCAGAAAATAATCTTTGATTTCCAAACATTTCATACTTATTTCCAAAACAGAACATAGAAGACTAATAAATCTCAAGTCATATAACCAAACTGCCCCCAAGAGGGTCTACAATAACACATTACAGGTAAGTCCTAAATGTTAATTGTCCCACATATATTCCAGAAACAGCTAATCAGAGGCAGAACAGAAATTCAACAGCTGTAACAGATTAGCAGTTCAGCCAATAAAGAGTAACACAACACAGAAAGCTCTCACCCTTATTTCATAATTAAGAACCAAACCACATGAATTTATTCCGTAAGTGAAGACTCCTAGGACTTTATCCTACAGCACAGTCCTTTGCAGGAGTATCCAAGAACCAAGTTTTAAAATCTGCTGAAGATTTAATGAAGAGTTCAGAAACAATAGTCTACTGTGCCTCAAAAACCCTACCAAACTAAGTTGGACAAAACTGTTAACTTACTTTTTTCCTTGCTCAAGAGTGTATGTTATTCAAAACAGACTGAAAAATTTATACAGAAATTGAAGCTTTCCTCTTTTCTTGTACAGCTGAACTATGCCTGTTCTCTGGCAGAGTCCAACTATAAAAAGTGCAGAGACTCTTGCTGAAAGATGCATGAGTTCTTAACAGCCTACATGGAAGCAAATGTACTTTGAACTTACAGCACATAAGGTAATAGGCTGGGATGGTAAGGGTGTGGTGGTATTGGCTGCTGTGATCGGTATCTGCTGCGCCCTGTGAATCTTCGAGGCATAAAAGGTGGGTAAGGCTGCAAGAAAGAAGAAAATAAGCTTCAACTGGAATTCGTGGAACTGGAACTTGGGTCCAGTTCTGGGCCCCCCAGCAGAAGAAACATGGACACACTGGAGAGCTTCCAAGGAAGGGCCACTAAGATGGAACTGAAGCATCCCATATATGAGGGGAGGCTGAGAGAGCTGGGACTGTTAAGCCTGGAGAAGAGAAGGCTCAAGGGGATTTTATCAATGTATACAAATATGTGAAGGGAGGGTGCAAAGACAGCACCAGGCTCTTTTCAGTGGTGCTCAGTGACAAGACCAGAGGCAGTGAGCACCACCTGAAACACATAAGGCTCCATCTGAACATAAGGAAACACTTCTTTATCATGAGGGTGACTGAGCTCTGGCACATGTTGCCAAGAAAGGCTGTGGAGTCTCTGTCCCTGGAGATAATAAAAGGCTGACTGGACACAGTCCTGGCAACTGACTTTAGGTGGCCCTGCTTGAGCCGGGGTGGTTGGACCAGATGACCTCCCTTCCAACCTCATCCAGTCCTGTGAGTTTGTGATCAACATTTTGCTTTCTTAATCATGAAATAAAATTAAATCTGAGTTATAAAATCCACTTTTAATAAAGCATTATTAAAAAAATCCAGCTTCTGCTCAAATCCAAAAGAACTCCAGCCTCAATTTGAAACTATTACCATCAATAACACACAATCATATCATTCCACATGAAAAAATAGTAACACACAACAGAAATCCTTGCAAGCTCTTGTGTACTTAGTCTACATGCTGGTTGATATGGGAAACAGGACTTGAACTGCTGACTCTCTTGTTAATATAAAAGCCCAGTCTTTAGGCCTGGTGCTGGTATGCAGGTTTGCGCACAAGTGGTTGAGTAAAGAAGCCTTGCATTGGGTTTGTGTGGCAAAGTTTTTCTAGCGGGGTGGGGTGTAGGGGAGGCTTCTGTGAGAAGCTGCCAGAA